TGGTGGTGCTTGTGCTTCAGCTGATGAAGCTGCTGCACTTTTCAATTGGAAAACCAGCTTTCAAACCCAAAACACCTCCCTGCTAACTTCATGGAATCTTCGGCCGATGAATCACAAGAATGCTTCGGGGCTTCCACAGCAATGCACTTGGTTTGGCATTACATGCATAAATGGAAGTACCAACAGATTGAACCTCACAAATGCAAGTGTTAAGGGTACACTCTACAACTTCCCATTCTCATCCCTCCCAAATCTTGAATATCTTGATCTAAGCTGCAATGAACTTTTTGGAACCATGCCCCCTCAGATAGGTAACCTTTCCAAGCTTATTTATCTGAATTTGTCAGCTAATCAATTTTCACAAGAAATTCCACCTGAAATAGGCTATTTAACCAATCTTCTGGTCCTCCACTTAAGGGAAAATCAGTTAAATGGCTCAATTCCTGCTTCTTTGGGAAATTTGAAAAATCTGAGTTATTTGTCTCTCTATAACAATTCACTTTCAGGTGTCATTCCTCCTGAAATAGGAAATATATCTAAGCTACTTTATTTAAGAATGAGCATCAATAATTTATCAGGTCCCATTCCCCCAGAGATAGGGAAGTTGGCATCCCTTCAGAGTTTGGGTTTGTCCAAAACTAACCTTACAGGTTCAATCCCAAAAGAGTTAGGTAATTTGACTAACTTGACTATTCTTTATCTCTTTGGGAATAAACTTTCTGGTTCAATTCCTAGGGAATTGGGGAATTTGAAGTCTATTATGACCATGGAATTGCAGAAAAATCAACTTACTGGTTCAATTCCCACTTCTTTTGGGAATTTGAGTAAATTGAAAACTCTGTTTCTGAACCACAATCGACTTACTGGTTCCATCCCACAAGAACTTGGGAAATTGACAAAGTTGGTTGTCATGGCAATGGACCATAATCAGTTCTCTGGTCATTTGCCACAAAATCTCTGCCCAAATGGAACACTTACGTACTTCGCTGTACACAACAACTTGCTTACCGGTCAGATCCCAAGAAACTTGAAAAACTGCTCAAGTTTAGTCAGGGCTCGTTTCAGTGGGAACCAGCTCACAGGAAACTTATCAGAAATGTTCGGCATATATCCACACTTGCACTTCATGGATCTTAGTAACAACAGTTTCTATGGTGAACTTGCTAGCAGCTGGGGAAGGTGTACAAACCTGACTACTCTATTGATTGCCAAGAACAAAATTACAGGTTCCATACCACCAGAATTTGGAAATTTGACTCTGCTGCATGTACTTGATCTTTCATCAAATAACTTATCTGGTGAGATTCCAATCGAGTTGGGAAATTTAATTTTTATGCTAAAGCTCGATTTACATGAAAACCTGTTTCATGGTGGTGTGCCCCAAGTATTAGGATTGCTGACAAAACTGCTTTACCTTGACCTGTCTATTAACTCCTTGAATGGTCCCTTACCAGGAAATTTGGGATATTTTCAGGAATTGTATCTATTGAATTTCAGTTACAACAATTTAAGCCAAAAGATTCCTATCCAGATAGGTAGGTTAACTCAGGTTTGTTTGTTGGATCTGAGTCATAATTCCTTCAGAGGAGAAATACCGTCTGAATTTGGAAATTTGCAGAATCTAGAAGCTTTGAATCTCTCCCATAATAGCCTCTCAGGTTTGATTCCCAAGAACATTGCCCAACTGCCTGGCCTATTGAAAATTGATGTATCTTTCAACAACCTCGAGGGGCCTGTTCCATATGGGAAAGCTTTTCAAAATGTCACCATACAACAGTTGCAGGGGAACAGAGATTTGTGTGGCAATATTACAGGGTTGCAACCTTGTGGAAGCTTGTCTGAAAAACCTGTCAGGAAAAAAGGCCATAAACTAATTCTCCTAATTGTGCTTCCTGTTTTGGGAGCAGTGCTGCTTAGTTATGTAGTCGCAGGAGTTATCATCTCATCCGCACGTAGAAAAAGATGCAGAAGAGCTAAAGACGGAAATGTGAAAGATGATGATCTGTTTTCCAGATGCATTTTTGATGGCAAGGCAATGTACAGAGAAATTTTAGAAGCCACGGAAGCCTTCAATTCATTTTTTTGCATTGGGGAAGGAGGTTATGGACGTGTATACAGGGCAGAACTTGAGTCCAAAAAGATAGTAGCTGTAAAGAGACTTCATCACTTGTCTGAGACAGCAGACCGTAAAGCTTTCTTGAATGAAGTAAATGCTTTGACAGAAATCAAGCATCGAAATATTGTGAAACTTCATGGTTTCTGCTCAACTGCTCAACACTCCATTTTGGTTTATGACTACCTTGAAAGAGGAAGCTTGGCCAAAGTATTTCACATCGATGAAGAAGCTAAGAAACTGGATTGGAAAAAGAGGGTGAATATCATCAAAGGCGTAGCTCATGCGCTGTCTTACATGCATCACGATTGTTCACCACCAGTAGTTCATCGCGACATCACAAGCAACAATATTTTGCTTGATTGTGACTATGAGGCTCATGTTTCAGATTTTGGCACTGCTAAGCTTCTCAAAAAAGACTCAGCGAATTGGAGTGCTCTTGCAGGCACATATGGATATGTTGCACCAGGTAAACAAGGTTTAATTCCTCCGCGTTTTTGGTATTACTTCGAGTAACTAAAACCGTCATCACAGGCCATCATAAATTGATATTCCTTGCAGAGTTTGCCTACACAATGAAAGTAACTGAAAAGTGTGATGTATATAGCTTCGGAGTCCTGATCATGGAAGTGTTTAAAGGGAAACACCCTCGTGATTTAATCCCTCGTCTACAGTCTTCAGCACCTGGAGATATAGAGCTGGAAGACTTGTTGGACCAAAGACTTCAGTATCCTGCTCAAAAGATTCTAGAGATTCTGATGCCCATCATCAGAATTGCTAGGTCATGTTTACATGTTGATCCACAATCCAGACCAACTATGCACTTCATTTCCAGATCGTTATCAGTTGCTACACCATTTCCAGGTGATCTTGGTAAATAAACAAGGCCATTGAATTAAATAATTGACAATTTATAGAATTTGGTCGATGCTCTTTTCTTTTGGTTTTTATATATCTTCCCTTCCTTCGAACTCACAATCAAATACTTCTTCTTTCTGCATTAGACAAGTAAGCAGTACCTGCAAGAGATTGAGATGATGAACAATGCAGAAGATTTGTAAGGCCTGGTAACATATGATCACATGCATTTCCCATGAAATTCAGCATACGTTTTTCAGTCAGTTTGGAGGCATTTTTTTTATCCTCCCTCCATGATCAGTACTTTACAATTGTAAGACAGAAATTGAGAATGTTTTGAGTCATTATGGGGAGGTATTAAGCATTTTGCTACAGTGATGCGCGTGTACGAGTATCAATCAAAGGGTGTAGTCCGCTAAAGATTTCTGCAAGTTCAAAGGTCACATAATTTGTATATTATGTTTTAGAAAAGATTCGTATCGAATCAGTGGTTGTACATATGATTTTGTTGTTAATGTCTACTTGCATTGTCGAGTTCATATCCATCGCAGTAACAGGCAAATGCAATACCTGCTCCAATAAAGAATTACTAGCAATTATATAAGGCTTATTAAACTAGTGCAGTATTTTTAAATAATTTGGTTTCGGAGACATGAAATAGTTGGCCCTCATGAAGGTTTGCCAATTATTCTTAGTGGACCTAACCATTCCGATCATCTCCTATTCTTTTTTTTTTTTTCAATTCCAATATATTTCTTTCATTTTATGGCTAAAACTTTCTAGTTTTAATTGCAAAGCCAAATGTAGTTATATTCCATAAAAGAATACAGCTCTCAAGGGAGGGCTCTTAGAATTCTCCTATTATTAGATTAACGGTTCGAATCTCGAGTTTGACAGTTGAAAGTGGGAAGAGCTATGGATGAAAGGGTGGAAGGTAAAGAAAAAAAAAGAATAAAGCTCTTAGCGAATTGGGAAAAGAAATTTAGAATATTCAAATTATTTGACACTCTTCACGAGGCATTCTAATGGTACGTCTTTCTTTATCCTTGTTCACATATCAATGTCCCATATAAATTATTTACAAGATTGGAAAAGTACCCAATTGCACAATGTGGTTCCTATTAGTAGAATTGGGAACTTTCGTAGATATTGATACCCCTCAAATATAAGAAACTCCATGGAAGAACATTGACAAATAAAGCATCCAAAACCTCAATTGAGTAAATATATCATCAACATTATAATCTTATAATAAAAAAATGTAATCAGCTAAAGATAAGATATGTGTATACACGAGTTTCAATAGTTTTAATGATGTTGATGTGTTAGTTAAACATTGTAGAAATCTTATAAGGACAATTGAATTAGCTAAGTTATTAGCCTAAAAAAATTCAATTATCTAGCTAGGTTAACTCACCAAGATGCCAGATTCTTTCCACCAATTATTACATAGTATGAACTTAAGACAGGGATGGAAAGTGAAGCCATGGTAACATATAGTAATATTACAGGACACATTCATTTTAAATTTGTCAATACTGCTTTGATTCTTGAGACTTGCTGCTCTAATTGCTCTGGCATGAAAATTCTTCAATTCAAGACACCAAAATAGGAGATTCTCACTCTTAATCCTCTAAAGCAAAGAGAAAAACAGTTTAAAAATGAAAGGCTACAAACGAGAATAAATGACCATAAATGATTAGTACTATAAAGGACATAAAATAATATTTTTATACTCTTGATTGGTTGAAGATCCACAATAAAATAATTTCTAGTTAGAGTGTTGAGATAGCATATAATTAGTACTATAAAGAAACAAAATCAAAATAGTAATATTTTTATACTCTTGATCGGTTGAAACTGCAAAATAAAATAAAGTCTAGTTACAGTGTTGAGATAACATATTGGGTACTGCTTTGACCTTAAAAACGTGGCACCTACCGCTGCTCCTCTTACTCCTGAAGGGCTGGCCTTTTCCGGGGAAGAACTTTCCCCTAAAGGCAATAATCCCCCAAAGAAGTATGTCTTGATGGATGGTAATGGCATCAATTTTTCCACTCTCCCATACCTGGAAGTTCCAACCAGTGACATCGGTCTTCTTGGTTCCTCCTCTTCTTTATTTCTAGTTGAAGAGGAATTCAAGAAACTCCGGTCTGCTCTTAGTTCATTTGGCTACATTCAGGTTTAATCCAATTTTCATTTCGGTCATTTTCTTTCTTTTAATTCGAGTATGCATTGAATCTTGCAGGTTGTCACTAAATCAAGACGTTCTCGACATTGTTTGCAAGAAAATGACAATTTAACTGCCGCTTGCCTAGATTTCACTTGCAATTTTTGTTTAGCACCATCATAGGAATATAGCAACTCGGCTAATGGATAAAATTCCTTTAATTATGGATACAAAAGTAGATGTCACTTCCCATGCACGTCCACCATGTCATAGGTTTTTTTTTCTTTCGCAAAACTAAAAGTTTTGCAAGCATCCAATAAAAAAAAAAATTCTCAGAACTAATATAATAGAACGTTTGTAATTTTGCTATCATCAAATATCTCTACAAGAAGTATAAATTGTTTAAAGTAAAGCTTGAGGACACGTGCAACATCACAAGGGCCTAAGCGGTATTAATCCTTTACAAATTTTTTTTTCTGGATTTTACTTGCTTTGTTTTGAATAAAATACAACGCAATGATTTCTTTAGATTTTGGTGTTAAATCCATATTAAGGATTTTTGAAATATGATTTTTGGTGTTTCAGGCAGTTAATCATGGAATGAGTATATCATTCCTTGATGTCGAAAAAAAAAAAAAGAAGTCCTTGATGTCACAAGAAAATTCTTCAAGCTTCCATTGGACGAGAAAAAGAAATATTCCAGAGAAGAAAACGAGATTGATGGTTATGGAAATAATATAATCTACACAGAGAATCAAACCCTTGATTGGAATGACCGGCTTTTATCTTCATTTGCTCCCTGGGAGCATGAGGAAGCTCGAAAAATGGCCTCAAACTCCCAGTAATTTTAGGTAAATATGCAATATCTTTTGCAGCATTAAAATTTATAAACCTTAAGGATCCCTTGAATCTTGATAGTTCACATGAATGTCCACGTTTCGACAAACAATTTTACGAGGGTTCACATGCAGCCACATAATTAATATTTTGTGTGATATGCAAATATTTGTATCACTATTTGTTTAATATCTGAGGGTGGGGGAATTCGAATCCTATATCTATGCTATCCAGAAAAATAAATATCCTCACTAATGCAATTGAGATGGCTCCATAATCCATATACAATGGCATCATAAACAAAATTTGATATGGGTCACTTAGTAAAGAAAAGGGTATATTACTGGTAAACTCCTATGGTTTCATCTATTATCACATAATCACTCTGACGTTTTAAAATATCCACTTCAACACTATAGTTCCATGTTAACTATAAATTTAATGAAAAATAATCTTTGTGACGTCATTAGTTGAAATACTAGTAGTGCTCTTATTAAATGCTAAATGAACATCAACTTAGTCACCTATACAAAATCATAGGAGGGATATCTGGATAATACAAAAACCAAAATGGGGTAAAGTGAGAATTTATACAAACTATAAGGGGGCTCAGTGGATATCATAATTTCATCACGTGCACTTTAAGAGCGCTTGCAGTCTAATCGCTATAATTGATTTTACATTTCATCCATTTTTCGCTTTACATAAAATCACAAGAGAATTATGTAACTATTTTGAAATTTAAGGGGAGTCATTTGACATTATACAAAACTATAGAGCATTATATGTAATTTAATCTAAGTAAAAAGAATATGATTCGTAATGAAACGCAATTTGGTTGGTAAGACATTGTACCTCATAGGTGATGGATTTAAGTCATTAATACAATAGATGGGGAGCTGATCCTCAATTAAAAAAATAAAAAGATAAAAAGAATATGACAAGGTTCTTATCACGAAAAAGGGGAAAAAGGGAATATGATAAGATTGAAAAGAAAGATTGGTATATAGAATAAAACCCGTAAATGAAATTTTTCATTATAAGATGTATAGTCTCCCCTTGATTTGCAGGGAAACCTTCCTCGAATTTACATCGAAACTACAGCTTATGAATGAAATTATTGTTAAAGCCATGGCAAAGTCACTGAAATTGGAGAAGCATAGCTTTCTTGATCAATTTGGAAAGAACCCAATTTCTCTTACGAGGTTAAAGTTTTGTCCTCCTTGTCCGTGGCTTGACTGTGTTCTTGCGGCAAAGCCACATGGAGATGCATCAGGAACCACTTATCTCTTGCAAGACAAAGAAGTGGAAGGCCTTCAAGTCCCGAAAGATGATCAGTGGTATCGAGTTCCACTTACTCCGGATGCCATTGTCTTCAATTGTGGTGATCAACTTGAGGTAATTAAAAATTCTGAGATAACTATTTAGTTTACCAATTCTAAACGAATGAAAAGATATGAATTAAGACTAGATAATTACCAATTTTCTGGTCACCTAATCATTTGGGCCATGTATCAATATGGTCTTTCAAGAAAGTTTTTATTTTTAATTTTTTTTCTCTTTTGAATTACTTTAGTTCCTTCCTCGAGCATAATTTGGTGCCTCAAGTTTTTCAAAACCACCAATTGCTGAACCATTTTGTTGAATTAATTAAGTTGAGAATGCTTCACAAATCTTGTAATCAATTTGGTGGCCGGATTCTTCTCAAAGTGCCTTCAGTTGGTAGAAATTAATTCACGTGCTGCTATAACAAATCGGTTTTGCTGGAAAGATGAGGAACCATAACAATGCACCTTCAGCTCAACAAGATCTACAATGGCAGTAATATTGAACTGTGTCTGTACGAACAACTCAAAGTAGAACCATTCTTGTGTTCATGATTTCTCTCCAATATGTATATATATCATTCTTAACTTTTAGTTGGGTTTTTTTGTCTGACACATGCAGATAATGACAAATGGGATATTCAAGAGCCCAATACATAGAGTAGTAACAAACAAGGAAAAGGAGAGGACTGTGGCTTTGTTCTTTTCTCCTGAGCTTACAATTAAATTTGAATCTGAATTTGAATTTCAAATTTTACATATATATCATAGATCCAATTATGAAAATATATATTATCAATATATATAAGATTTAATTCAAAATTTTCGCCGCTTCATGTCGACGAAATATGCAGCAGTATCGAATGATGCTGGAATTAAAATTCCCACGTCTACTAATTCCAGAAAACTTAATTCCTCTTAATCCACACATGAGCCAAATGGGAAGTATTACATAATTATTGATACTTTGTCAAATGAGTGCAAACTTCTATGGTTGTGAAATTACTTTACTCCCTGCTTAATTACATGTCAACTCAACATCAACCAGCCAGTAATTGTGTCCTTCATTATTGAGACACAGTGATAACCCTGCGATCGGAAAAGATCATAACAGATCCTTTTCACTAATGCATCAAAATCCATGAGAACTGATCCATGCAAATTAACATACATGAGAGATCTGCATTAGAAACAATACTTTTTTTCTTTTGGGTTAACGACAATGCAAGAGCATGAATCTCTTTTGCCAAAGCAATTTTAATCTTAAAGTAAAAATAATTAAAGCCCGTCCTAGTCAAATCCCACTGGTGTCAACAAATTCATCAGTGGAAGCTCAGCCGCTGAACTCAAGATATGTTTATTAGGTAACAATTGTAACTTTGCTGTTTGTAACTTGCAATTAACTACACTTATTCGATTTTCTTTTTGTAATAGAACCCCATCACGTTTAACATCCCAAATGATTCTTACGTATTGATATCCATGGGAAAAAGAGAGATGTTTTATGTTCCAATGAAGAATCGATTGCTGCGCTGTCCCTATTCTTTCAGAGCACCTTACTATTCCCAAGCAAACTGTGTAGGTTTATAATGTTACTTTATCTGTGTTGGTAATTTTGGCTGTGATGATAGGTAATTTATAAATATTACTTTTTCAAATTTATTGCTGATACTAAATAGCAATAAAAAAATTAGTATTCATTTTTCTCCTATAAGTGATATATCATTCTGAAAACATGTATTGTTAGCACAACAAATCACACAGCGAGTGGAAGGAATTTTGACATATATAAAAATACGTAGGAAGAGGAGAAGAATAAACACACAAAGAAATACTTAACTATTTATTAACTCATAACTCAACAGTAACAAATATCAAATCGTAATCTTTCGCTCACGATAACGTACATTTCTCAATTATGAAACTTTCTCTCAAACCTATTTTTAGGACTTAACTCAACTCTTCAAGTAATAATTTACTAGACTAATAGTATTTATAGATTCCAAAGCTTCTTAAAACAATTACAATCATAAACTGAAACTTATTTAGACATTGACTTGAGATTTTCTACACTAATATGAAAACTAAATAAACAGGATACCAAAACAAGAATCTAAAAGAATTAGAAAACTAAATACTAAGATAGTTTGGTTTAATTTCCTTCATTACCTCATTTAAACCAAATTCTTCATATGGTCACCTCCAATGCCATTAAGAGTTTAAATCTCCATAAACAAATTTAGTCGCTGTATAGATGATGTGGAACTTCAACTTGCAATGGATCTTTAATTTCATCTTCACCTGCGGTAGTGGATGAAACTTGTATTTTTCAAACAATTTTTTCGCTTGATCACTCTTGTGAAGAAAAAATTCAAACATTTTTACCCATTCTTCATCCAATTTTCCATAATTTAATTCATCTACATCACCAAGAAAATTTGGATATTATAATATCATCACACGCATCTTTAGATGTCTGAGTTGCTCGCATAATTGAGGTGCTTTCTGTCTAATTTTCACTTCACGTAATATTATAAGAAAGTTATGTGGATATTTTTAAATATTACGGGAGTCATGCGGGAACATGAAATTATTAGTAATGACCCTGTTCATTAAGATTCTATAGCGTAGAAGAAAGAAAATAACACTAAGGAAAACTATGTAGAATCAATTATCCAAAGAATCACAACAATCACTAAATCTATTAGGACCATCGATCCCCAAACCAATTTGTTCTTCTATATTTACCAACTCATTTACAAAAGTAGTGCTTGGTATTTCAGGCAATTAACCATGGAATGAGCGCTTCATTTCTGGATGAAGTGCTTGAAGTCACTGGAAAACTTTTCAAACTTCCATTGGATGAGAAAAGGACATATTCCAGGGATGAAAACGGGATTGACGGCTATGGGAATGATGTAATCTATTCAGATCGTCAAACCCTTGATTGGAATGATCGGCTGTATCTTCATGTGCTCCCGAAGAGTATCAGAAAATTTGAAAAATGGCCTCGCCCTCCTCAAAATTTAAGGTAACCTGCCACACCTACCCCCCCCCCCCCCCAAAAAAAAAAAAATGCACTCCGCCAACTTTGACATAAGGTTTTTACTCATCCGTGCAGAATAGTCAAACAAAATAGAGAGAGTGAGTCCACTATAAATTTCAAAAATTATCATTCGCCTCTAAAAATGAAGAAATTTTAGAGAAGAAAATTCAAACGTTTGCAGATAACTAAATACCGCCCTAACTCTTATTGTTTACCTGTCTTAGTGCACGGAATAAAAAAACTCTTGACATACTAGTGCTCTTATACACAGGGAATTATTATTGAGTAGATGTCCTACTTTGATTTTAACACTGAGCCACAAAATTACGAATTTGGCACACCATCAACCTATATGCTCGAACAATTAACGTAATTGGACTCTAACTAATTGCGTCGAGAACACATAAGAATATGTCCTATTTTCCAGTACACCAGTGCTAACTAGGAAATAAGCAGGTATGCATACATATTTTCTCTGCTTAATTGTGTTAGCAGCTTCTGAAATTGGATTTATCTGGCTACAATTAGTGATTTCAAGGTGTTAAATGAAAGAAAAAAATGGGCTAACTTATTACCTGTTAGTCTCTTAAAAGATGGGACAAAAATATACAAGTTGCAAAAAAAAAAAAAAAGGTAGACGTAAAACTTTTTAGGTTAATTTCTTGAAAATGTAATACTTCTTTCTTGACTTGCCAGGGAAATCTTACTTGAATTCACAGAAAGATTGCGGGTGATGAATGAAATCATTGTTAAGGCCATGGAAAAGTCACTTGACTTGGAAGAAAATCGTTTTCTTGATCAATTTGGTGAAAGTCCCATAGTCCTTGCAAGGTTTAACTTCTACCCTCCATGTCCATGGCCTGATCGCATACTTGCAGCCAAGCCGCAAGGAGATGCGTCAGGAGCCACTTATCTCTTGCTAGACAAAGAAGTGGAAGGCCTTCAAGTCTTGAAAGATGATCAGTGGTATCTAGTTCCACTTACTCCCAACGCCATTGCCTTTAATGTTGGTGATCAAGTTGAGGTACCTTTTACCAAAAGCACCGCAATCCTAAACGGGCCTAAATCCCGACCATAGAGTATTATATATATAATATAATACTATATATATTGTATACATAGATGTATTAGATACATAATAATGTATATTGTCTATAATTATACATATTATAGTGTAAAAAATTAATAATCTATTCCAGTCATCTGGTAATATATAAACCTCAAACATAAATTATGCATAAGTATGCATAATGAGTCGAGCATGGGCCCACAAAATGAGTCCAAACTCCGAAGAACGAAAGCTCAAATGGTGTCCTTTTGGCGAGCTAATTTTGGCTTGTCAAGATCTAACTTAAAAAGTCCAATTGATTTCTCTAGTTATATCGAAGCAAATGACTAAACAGCCAAAAGGAAAAAAAAAAAAGAAAAAGAAAACAGGATGCCGTGTATTCGATGTATTATACTTAATTTTTGGGGGACTACAATACTTATCAATTGGTGAGAGGAGTAAATTTGAAAGAAAACCTTATCATTTATGAGAATTCTTTATATTGTCCTGTTTTATTTTAGTTTCTTAGATTGATATCCTAAATACTTGTAGAATCTCTAGTTGGAGGGAGTGTTAGGTTAGATGGTAAGATGGGAGATAGTAAGTAAGAAGTCCTAGACTCAAAACTTTTTATTTATCAAAAAAAAAAAAAAAAAAGTCGTACAAAAACTAGTAGAACTTCCAATTCTTACGATATTCTAAACTAAAATCTCAATTTGTGGCTAAGTTTGCATCTAATAGCAAGGTGATCAAAAAGGCCATGCCAACGTATTTACACGAGTGAACTATGACATTTTTTTGACTCAAAATGCCATAATATTGACTACGGTGCCATTTTCTAGAATATTGGTTGGAATCTTGATTGCTCTTACCTTCAGCACTACATTTTCTTGACTATTTCTACTAAGAATTGTGATCATTACACTGACTTGCCTTCAAATTATTCCAATCACAAGCACTCAAATGAGTTTTAGTGGTATGATCAACTAGGTGACGTTTATAGATGAGTGGAATACAAAATGATACTCGTCATGCTTATGGTATAAATATTACTGTATATTGCTTTCCTTGAATATCTACATTCTTGTTTGCTAAGTTGGCTTGTACAATTGTGCAGATAATGACTAACGGGATCTATAAGAGCCCCATACATAGAGTAGCAACAAACAGAACAAGAGAGAGAGAGACTCTGGCTTTGTTCTTTGCTCCTGAACCAACAAGGGAAATCAAACCGGTTGAAGGTCTAATCAGCAATAAAAACCCGAGGATGTACAAAAATGTCACAGATTATTCACGAAACTATTTTGAGTATGTTCAGCAGGGAAGAATGCCAATTGATGCAATGAAACTTTGACACAGACAACGAGAAGAATTTATTTTAGTTGTCAGGTAGTTTTAGATTCCCCTTTTATCTTCGGTTCAATATGCATTCAATATTCATCAGATATAATAGTTGAAAAATGTAATTGCCTATACTATTTTACTTGTCGTCGTTATGAGATTGATTATTATTTACAGATTAAATTCATCTAAGAAAATTCAGCAGTTCCATGCATATAACATCTTTGTATGTCAATCATCTGCGAATTACTTTGAAAACATGATTTTCTTTTTAGTAGTGATATAAAGTTGATTTTACTTTATTAAACAATAAGGATGGATTTAGTTCCTTTTTTTGCAAAAAAATTGTAACGGGCTTATTGCCGAGTGAATGAATAGTTTTTTTTTTTTTTTAAAAGAAGCATCATTTTATTACAAATATTACTGGAAATGGTCCAGCAAGAATTGCTTGACAAAGTCAAGTGTAAAATTCCACAGAAATTCCCACGCCAACACGCCAACTGATGAGCAATTCTATAAGAATCTCTAGGAGCCTGGTGATGTAATGATCAGGTTCAAAGATTCAACGATCGAACATTGACTGATACCTAAGAAAGAATTTAACTCATAAAACAAAGGATTTACCCCTATTATATATGTGGGGTGCCTTATAAAATGACAACCATGAAATCCAATGGATCAAAATGAATAGCGCTTCAAAAAAAGATTCAAGCATTAATACAGTGGCAATGTCTTCGGAACCCTCACACCGCGCACAAGACCTCTTCCTCTGCTAGGAGCCTTATGGTGATTGTGAAAAAGAGGGTTAAAGATCACACGTTAATTGATAGCTAAGAAAAAATCTAGTTCATAAGATCTAATGTTGGGTTATGGACTCAATAATGATGTAAGGAGGAGGGCCGAAGATCTCACATTAATTGATAGTAAGAAACAGTCTAAGATCCAAAGTACATCGATTGATAACTAAGGTCCTGTTTTATAATTCAACACTTAAAATTAATGAATTCAGATCTTAACATGTTCAAACGTATTTTATAATAAAAAATTGAATATCTGAATTAATTAAGTAACATTAGATTTTTTATGTAAAACTTGACCCAAAAAATAAGTGATAAACTATTAATTTATCACTGAATGTGATATATACTTAAATATATTAAATTTAGTACTTGATAATTAAATTAATTTAATGAATTCAGACCTCATATTTCAATTTTTAATTTTTATTTTTTATCAAACGCACCCTAAGAAAGTGTCTAATTTATAAGGTAGTGGCGCGGTTCCTACGGTGATATAAAGAGGATGACCAAAAATTCTACGTCACTTGACAGTCAAGGAAGAATTTGCCTCACACGATAAGTATTCACTTCTTCCATGTGAGGGTGTGTGCGATCCAGTGGACCAAAACTTATTTGTATTTTAGAGTATTACTGTAAATAGTATTTTAAACAGACTTATTTTTTCAAAAAAAAAAAAAAAAGGCCCAAAATAGGCGACCACTTTGTAATTGGTAGTGAAAGGCTAGAATGAAGGCACAAACTCAAAATCTAGTGGGCTTTTCCTCTAAGTGGGTCGACACAATAAGAATTTTAAAGTAGTGATAATTTCGGGCATAGTCCATGATGGTTTAGCAAAATGCTTGAACAAAGGAAAGAATGATTTGCAGTATATAACGCTATTTGACTTGCACCTTTTTTTTTTTTGGTAAAAATTTGACTTGCACGTAAAACGTTTAAATAAATGGGAGGGTTGGGTTGGATTAGAGGTGTCAAAATGGGTGACTTGGGTGGCTTTGGGTTGGATAAAATGGGTAATGGGTATAAGTGAGTCAACCCATTTATACCCATTTAATTAGATGGGTATAAATGGGTAAGTCAAAAAATGAATGAGTAACTCAATTACCCATTTATAACCCATTTATTTTAACTTTTTTATAAACTCATTTAAATTCATTTTTACAAACTAAATTATCAATTACATCGCTCTTTGTACCCATCATTGGTTTTAAATGTTTACTTATAATGCTCAATAAGCCTAATTACTAATTTTTTTTCCATTTATACTCTATATCACAAAATTACATATTATTTAATAATTGAATGATAAGAATATAAAAAATTGAACTAAGTACTATAAAGGTTAATATAAAAATTTAATCCAAAAATTTTGAACCTCTAACATTTTTTTCATATATAAAATATAAAATTTCATTTTAGAAAGATAAGAAAAGAGGCTAAAACTTATCATAAATTGGTAATGCTGAAAAATGAATAAGCTAACAAACTAAGAGAAAATAAAATAATAAGATCAAACGAACAAATCATAATAATAATAATAATGAAACAAAAGTAGTTAATATCATGACAAAATAAAAAATTTGAAAAAAAAAGGGGTGGGGGAAGAGAAGAGACTTGAGAGAAGAGAATTTTAAATAGATTAATTGGATTTGATGGGTTACCTAATAATGCCAAATTAATAAATGGGTATTACTGGGTAATCCATTTATACCCATATATAAAAATTTAAGATACCCACCCATCTATTCATGAGCGAATTTGGGTAAATTTAGTTAAGTGGGTTGGTTTGCCACTTATAGGTTGGATGATAAGAGAAAGGGAGTATAACTAGAAGATTTTAGATTCAAAATTTTTCACTTATAAAAAAAGTTGTTTAAATAAAAGAAGAGAGAGAGAGAGAGTCTTGTAACCGAAATGTTAACAATATTGCTATGCCATTGTAATGTTAACAATATTGCTATGCCATTGTAATGTATGAAATGTTTCTTTAATAGCTCACTCCGATGTCTAGAATTTAGGTATATTTACTCTATATATTTTTTCTTAACCTATAGTAGTAATTTTTCATTCTTTTGGCTAAAGTCACAATTCAAGTTCTCAAATATTGGACTTTGTGTCACAAATAATAGTGCACTTATTTCGCTTTTTAGCTAAACGCTTAAAGCAAAACTAATACTGGTATGATTATGGGTATTTCCTTTTGGAGTTTGATTCACCGATCTAACTTTTGTTTGTATGACGTATTTCTCAATGGAAAATAGTACTGTACACACGACTCTACATGATAGCTACAAAGTTAAAAATGATTCACAATTTTTTATTTTGGAGATGTCTACACTTATCTTTATCTTTATCGCTGTTTTTTTAAATAAATTCCATCTCAAAATACAATAAACTTATAACAACCATATATATTTTAATTTCTTTGAGACTAGATATATTTGAACCACTAGTATATGTGGCAAAATTTCAATCATCTGTGGACCGAAAATTTCCTTCAGTTTGATGTTCTTTTCTTGTTTGGACCTTATTGCTGGTGATATAAAGGTCTGTCGCAACTATAAATTAATTGAACTATTGAAGTATCTTAGAAAAAAGAAATAACAACTTCCGAGTTTTGTCCGCTTCGAAGACAGTCACCGACAGGGCTTCAAATTCTCTGTCCCCAAAGTAGTCTCTGTCCCTTATTTGTACAACTGCCACGTATTTCTAACCTTTTGTTAACCCAAACTTAAATAAATCGATAATAATCGGTTTACAAGTTTACTTAAAATCAATTAAAATAGATAAATCAAAACTTTTTTTTGTTTTCTTTTTAACAAAAAAGAGTCTCGTTGATCATAAACATAGAAATCAACTAAAATTCTTCTTTATTTTCTATCCCAAATCATCTTTTTCTTAAACCCTTACAAGTACTTTGATTCACTCATTATATCTTTAATCTTGTAGCAAAAACGCTCAAAGGATCAAGTAGCAAGATTCAATATCATCTTCATCCAGGTAAAACAAATCAATAGACACTACAAGAAATATATTTTTCAGTGACAAAAATTTATGTGACAACAAAAATCTTGTCACAGATAACCTAATTCAGTGACGACATTAGGTGTCATCACTGATGAGTACAGCACAAGCATAATCAGTGACAACATTGGAAGTTGTCATTCTCAACTCGTCACGAAATAGTTGGCGCGCATCTCATTTGATGCCGCGGGAAATGATTTTATGACAACTCAAGTAAAGTCGTCACAAATGCTCTCTCTACAGTGACAACATAACTTGTTGTCATTGAAGGTCTACCCGATTCCAATTTTGTGACAACTTTTTGCATCACTGTATACTACAGTATTTTCATCAACTTTCACTAATTCTACTATGACACCCTAATTTTATTTTTTAGCCTCCAATTCTTTTATATTAGCAAAAGCACCGAAGATATGACACCCTAATTTTATAATTTAGCCCCTATTCATTACGTATTAGCAAAATGCAAATGATATAATAACAAACTATTTTTAGATATTTGTAATTTTTGCTAAGTTGACATAATAGACATGTCTGAGCATAAAAATTTTTTCACAAATTTTTTATTATTCCTTATAACAACCCCCAAAAATCAATAACTGAAATAATTTGAAAAAGTGTAATTGAATATAATTTGTAGTCTAATGTTAGCACTGTGAAAGATTAGTATAACGTGTAATACATCATAAGTAATAATTATTTTCATATGGAATGGGTATATACGAAATTAAAATTATTCAGTAAAATATCTGTCGTGCAATAAGATTGAGAGTTGTAACACATTTAACAGAATATTTGATTACATGTTTCTTTTAATTTATTATAAAAACTAAGTAATAGACAAAGGGTAGGATAAGCATGAGTAAGAAGTGCTATACTGTATATAAGCAATTCTATAGTATTTTCATCAAATTTCACTAATTCTACTATGGCACCCTAATTTTATTATTTAGCCCCCAATTCTTTTATATGAGCAAAAGCACTGAAGATATGACACCCTAATTTTATAATTTAGCCCCTATTCATTACGTATTAGCAAAATGCAAATGATATAATAACAAACTATTTTTAGATATTTGTAATTTTTGCTAAATTGACATAATAGACATGTCTGAGCATAAAAATTTTTTCACAAATTTTTTATTATTCCTTATAACAACCCCCAAAAATCAATAACTGAAATAATTTGAAA